AAAAAAATTTGTCCAGAAATAGCATAACCTTTCAACTTGTGAAGAAGACCAACATGTTGAAGGATTAAAAATATAATGTAGGAGATTTTTTTTTTCTTCTATTTAATCATTAACTGTAAATAGAAAACATAACTACATACTTATGACTTGAATCATCATTTCACTTGTTATATATATTATATATATATATATATATATATATATATATATATATATATATATATATATATATATCAATGAAATGAAATGATTAAATTTAATAAATTAATTATAAATAATTGAATTAGCTGTCAAAAATGTCATGATTGTCATTCCTTTTTCTCTCTTTGAATTTTTAAGAATAAAAATTATATTAATAAATATAAAGGAATTTAATTCCAAAATATTAGTAAAGAGTTCTATTATTTTCTTATAAGGAATATATATGAATTTAAATAACATAAAAGGTACATTCTTGTGCTATTTGAAGAAGGGAAGTATAGATCAGGTTATGTGAGGAGTAGGAGGATTTGATTATTATAAAAGTAAAGTAACTCCTAATACATATGGTAAAATAGGGCACATATGTGTGTTTATCCTTTATTTTATTACTAAAAATACAAAAAGAAATATGTTTTCTTTATTTACCTTTATTTGTATATTGAAGAGGACAACTTTTCGTCTAAAGTATATTTTAACAAATACTGCATGCATTTTATTGAATTAAATTGCTCCACATTCATCCATCTTTTTATTCCATGATTTGGAAACTTATATCAATTTAAAATTTCTAATCAAAACATTTTATTTACAGGTTCTAATTTCTTTTTATGAAACTATATTCTATCTATCTATATATATATATATATATATATATATATATATATATATATATATATTAAAAATCCTCAATTTCTTTATGGAAATATCTCCTGTACCTTGTATTAATTGGCTTATTTCCAAACATGTTTATCAGTGCCTCATTCAATTTTATTCATGTTTACCTGTTTTCTTAATACTTTTGACGGTCTTTATTTTCTTGCATTACAACTAGTCTTACAAAGCTTAGCATGTTTTAGTACAAGGTCATAATTGTAGGCCACCTAGTGAGAAACTAATATTTCTCAAGAGTTTACTTAGTTCTTGTATTTAAAATGAAAAGTTTTTATGAATTACTGCACTTAAGTTTTAATATTCTTGGCAAATATTTTTGTAACTTGAATAAAAAAAAATTAATTTATATTTTTTATTAAAAATATTGAGATATTTTTCAAATTAAAAAAAAAAAATTCTTTGAAATTTAATCTTTTTGTAACTGTAGTATTAAATACTATAATAATGAAATTAATTCCCACAATTTGTCAGTGTCCAATTCTTAGCTAACAAGTTTTTATTTTTTACTCTTTAAATTGCATAATGACCAAAATTGCTCAGCTTAAAAATTAATATTTTTTACTATTTTTTCTTGTAACTAATTTGTTGTGAGGAAATTAAAGCATGAATAAATAAAATTTGATCTATGAATTTTAATAGCATCCTCAAATGTAAATGATTGGGTAAAATTTATCAACTGTATAATTTGAAAGTAACTGGAAAATACCAGGCCAAATCATAGAGAAATTAGTTTTTTATTCAGTCTCTTATTTAACTAAATACTACTGATGTTGTACCATTTCACAAAATGCCACTCTAAAAAATGAGGAAATTTCTTAACATTTCAGATTTTTTCCATTTGAATTATAATCCAAAAGCAAACAGCAACCATATTCAACCTATTTTAGAAATTTTATGAATTTTGCCATTTATAATTTGATAAAAAAATACTACCCTCTTGTTCTTTAGTTGTTTTTTTTTATATACTGATACTGAATTTATCAAATGAAAATGGTGTGAAATGATTGTAATGTGAAAATGTAATGTCATCAGGGCAGTGCATTTTTTCTTAATGTCAGTTGCCTCAACTGCCAAACATTAAGAAAAAAGACAGCAGAAAATATTGTCTTAATTAACCAGTTATATTAGGTATGTACAAAAGTTCCCAGTGTCATTTTTCTTTCTTTTTTTTAAATTTAAAACAGAATACATAGAAAACACCTCCCATTTTTTCTCTGTACAAACACCAAATATTTGGATTCAGTAGCACATTTTATTCTCTAAAAATAATTAAAATCCTTTTATTTTCACATAGAGCTTATTTGCTAAGTTAAATGTGTAATGGTTTCATTTGTTTATAACATCATTTAAAAATATTTTACTATTTTTTTAAAGTCTGGAAAACAGTGCCAAAATTAACAAATAAGTAGTACTTGAATTTATATTAAAGTTTTAAACTTTCAGATTCAGAGCATTAATTAACCATAATCAGGTTAATTTTAGAAAATTAAAATTAAATTGATTTTAATTTTTAGTTATATCTTTTATAAACCTTTCATTTCAAGTTGATATTGAGATGTCATAAAATTAAATATCTGAAGTGAGGCAAACTTAAATTAAAAAAATTCCATGTTTTTATCTTTTCACAAATAAATTCAGTAATCAAAAAATACCAAAAGTTTTATGAAATTTCATTAATTAGTTTCATTTCATATTTTTCAAATGTCTGTATATTTAGCACTAAAATTTTGCAAACTTATTTTTTTCTTAGAACTGTAAATACAAAATTCAAAAACTTTCTATAGAACTTATCATTTTTATATCATTTTTCTCCAATTTTCAATTTTATTTTTAATGATATACATTTTATAAAAATTGATTTAAACTTTATACAGGATTGAATAGTTTCTTTGTCAATTGGTGTCAGTTCTTATAAAAACCCATGATTAAAATAAAGTGAAATAAGAGAAATTTTCAAAAGCTTTCAGAGTTCAAATATTTAAGGACTAACATTAACATTACCCTAAGAGAAAAGCAACAGAGATGAATGCAAAAGTTTTTATACACATTTATATATGATTGACAATAAGTAAAGAAATATGAATCCCTTCTCTGTTCTATTTCCAATGAAATTTGGGATCTTGTATATTTTATGTTATTTGTTAAAGGCAAAAAAAATTCTTTTAAATAGCTGATTGAATTTTATTTATCATTATCTCTGAAATCCATGATTATTCTTCACTCTTCAAAATGAAATTGAAGAATAACAAAATTTGGAGTAGAAATGAGGAAACTCGTCCATTAGATAAAAACAAAAATGGTAAACCAACTCACTGCAAGAGAAATAATTTCAGACTCTATTATATGGGGATACACACATACTGAAATATTATTTCTTAAAATTTGGTCTACAAGTATGGCTTTCAAAATTACTTTTATCCTGTTTTACATATGTTATTTCTTTAAGCTTTAACATCACTACTAAAAATAAGTACAGAAAGAAAGATATATTTAAAGTGCATTATTTTTTTACATTTTATGAAAAAGATACTTAATGAAAATATTGCTGTAGGCCTTTTTCTTCAAATGAAGTAGAGACAAGAGTTGGTAAGAATAAAAATGCTTCCCTTCTATACAATTATTCTTTAGTATAGATGACAGTTGGTTTGCCTATGGGCATTTTAAATATTCATTTTGCTTTTAATCACTAAACCTTTAGAAGTTGTTGAATGATCAGATTGAAGTGATAGACAGAAATAAAAGATGAATATTTTTCATGCTTTTACAATAAACATGGGTATTCTGTATACATTTCATTAAGGATATTACAATATCTAATCTATAAATAGTAGTAGTAATTTATTTCTATGTGTCTACAAGTCTGTAGTAAGGGATCATAAATTACAAACATATTTTTCATATTTAACTTGTTGACATCTTGAAGTTAAAAGATTTTTTTGTTTTTTTTAAGTCTTTTTTAGTGTTATTTTGAAATTGAATAAATTAGAATTTATGCTATCATTGTTTGTTCGTTTGTTTGTATGACTAGGGTTGTGTCTGCCTGATTTTTCCCCACCCCAGCCCTTATAAGAAAGAATTGGTTGTTTTCTAACAGAAACACTTACATAATAATAAATGAATTGTGAAAATCGAGTGAAGGAGGAAAAGTAGGAGGTAATAAAGCTAGAGAGAAATGAAGAATATATATGCATAGACAGAGGGAAAAAGAATAGAAATGAAAGACTGGCTATGAAAAGTCAATGAGGGTAAGTTTGAAAGGCAGGCTGGGATGGAAAAACATTAAAATTGACATTAAAATTATTTTTAGAGAGATAAAGCAAAAAAAAGCTTGCAGTAAAAAATATTTGGGTTTTTTTCCTTTTTTTTTTTTTTTATCTGAAAGTAATCCATGCTTGTATAACAGATAAAAAACATAGATGGGCAATGAAAATTGAAAAGGATAAGGTACAAAATGAGAAGATACAGGCAAAGCATGCAAGAAGAGCAGAGATATGAAATAATCTTAGACTTAGCTGCCAACATCTGTGGAATTTTCACAGATTCAACTAGTTAAACTGTAACTTAAATATCTCTTCTTCATTAAAGGAAAAAAAAAAACTATACTTAATTACAAGTAATACAGATTTTTTGTTGCTGAGTAGATCTGTATATTTCTTTCTTATATTTCTGTTTTTCTAAATGTTGATTGTTAAATATAAATTAGAGAAAATTAACTTGTAAAAGTTAATAAGGATCTGAAAAAATACTATAGCCAAGATTATGTAGGTTCCTACTCTATATTAAAAATATAAAGGCTGAGTGATATATTTGGATTCATTACATAATGACTGAAAAAATTTTCATCATCATTCTTGAATTGTAAAAAATGTAAATTATATAATTGGTGAACCATTTATTTTATAGTTCAATCCCTGCTGGTTAATCTAGGAATATTAATCTCTGCCAGATTTGGTTTAGTTCAACTGTCTGTTGAATAATTGCAGTTTGTGCTTATTCATTAAGAAATAACTGAAGATCCTTTTTTAAATATTGCAAGTGGAAGCTTCTTTGAAAATTTTACTTTATTTCTCTTTTTTTTTTTCATTTTTCATTTCATTTTTTTTATTCTCTCTTTCCATTGATTTTAGGATGGATTCTGAATGGAGCGACCGATGGAGCCATTTAAAGAAAATCTTGGAGCGAACGGGTCCGTTTACCCACTCAGATTTTGAACCGAGTCCTGAGGTATGTTTACTTTTATCTCTTTTTCTTTGCTTCTGAAATTGTTAAAATCTGTTGGGTGTTTTTTCTAGATACTATTAAGTAAATTATTTTTTTTTTTTTGTCCTCAAGGCAAAAAATGTTTCTCAAAGTCAATATTTTAATTCTTCATTTTGATTTAACTATAATTTGATGTTTATATATTTATTATGTAACATCTTGTCTCTGGTGCTGTTGGTTTTTAGTCACTGTTCATATTTCTCTTTATTGATTGGGCTTTGATGAGAAAGGAATGACAAATTGGTTAAGCTGTATTTCTTTTTTGTTAATTTATTTACTTTTCAATATTACCATTTTACAGTAATGTAAACTTTGTTATTCTTGTTCTTTTAATGTATATTTTAATTGCAATTATTAAATTTTGTACCTCTTTTAAAATAATTATAAAAGACTTACAGACAAATATTTCATTATAGCTAATGTAAGTAAATGAAATATTCAGTATATGATAGTTGCTTGAAAAAAGATTTCTTAATAGATATTCTGTATTCTTCAAATTAGAGGATATTATGCAAAAAGATTTCAACCGAAATCAAATTATTCTGTACACATACTGATTCCATCATGGTATTTCTCAAGGCTATGATGTAACTTAGTAGTGCTCATCTCCTCTGCAAGTAACATGCAATACAGGGTGATGCAAAAGTAGGTATACATTAAATATTATACCATATAGAATTAATTTTTAATATTTTTATGTTCATAATTTTAATTATAATACATTTATTATAATTTTTATTTTTTAGTAAATAATAATAAATATTTTGCAGGTAAAGAGGAGTGTGTGAATGTCAGGAGCAAACAGTTTGAACATTTGAGAGATTGATATGTTTATTATTATTGTAAAATCAAACAATGTTTTGTGCATGCAATTTGATTTTCATTATTGTATACTTACTTTTGTGCCCACTGTATTGTAGCATAGTACGATCAGTACTATGACTTTGTCTTTTTAGGTGTAGATGATTTCTGCTTTTGCCAAGGACATTAGAGGACTTTTTCATTACTTCCACCAAAAGCTTACATCCAACATTTTAAAATCATTATCATCATAATCGGTCCCATGACTAGATGTGGTTCTAGCACCTGACTAGTTCCCTCCAAATATTTCAGTTGAATGCTAGAGAAGTATTCATTCATGCATAGTTTGTCTTGAGCAAGTAGAACTGGTAGAGCCAATCCCTTTTCCAGGTAAACCACAGCCAACGTCACAGACATGTGGCTGTTGATTTTTTCATTGAAACACTCTGCTATAGTTATTGACATCAGTTTGGGAAGTCTTTCACCTGGCAATACCATCATCACACTTGCTGAAAACATGGCTATGGAGCCCAGTCTACCCCATTGTACTGTTGCCCATGGAAGAAGGTTCATTAGCACTTTGACAAATATTGTTTTTAATCCTGATGCATTTTTATGTACAGAAGCCTGAAAAGAAAAAAAATACATTAAATTGCATCTTTTTTTTTTCTTACTGACTTAGAACTTCTATTTCTGGTCTTAGTTTGGGTGTTCTTATTTTCCCAGCAGTTTGGTCTTAAGTTGAAATATTTAAACTCCCTTTCTACCAGATTCTCAGTCTTGTATATCTTTTTAGTTGAGTTCCAAATGAGTAAGTAGCTTCCCCCTGCCTTTTCTATAAATACTTTCATGGTAATTGTTCCAATGAACTTTCCTCTATGGTACTAACACTATTTTTAGTTTCTTCTATGTAAAATTGTAACCATTGTAAATGTTCATTGGCATTTAATTTTTAAAGGTTATTTTTATTCCACCCACCCACAAACAAATTGTACATATGGGGACTAGATAGGACTTCATAGAGACCCTGAGGTACTGTGATGACTGTAGTAATAATGGTAAGTAAGAATGTGTTGTTTTGGTGCCAGGAATATTGTAGTTTGTTTGAGTCAGTGTTTATGGCTAGCTAAGTTTAAGACAAGACAGACTGAAGACCAGCCTCCCCCCATGCCCCCATTTTGGCCTTGTGCTACATTTTTGTATTTTATACTAAATAAATATTGCTTTCCTCTATGGTACCTAGACTTTGAATTTAAGCACAGTACTAAATTAGTGGCAAGGTCTCATCATTTTACCACTGAAATTGCTAGAAGTAACTGTAAGTTCTATAGTAACAGTTTTTTCTCTTACACTTCTCACTTGTGGAACTCTCTTCCAACTTCTTGCTTTCCAGTCAACTTTGATCTTGAAAAATTTAAATGCAACGTCAATTATTATCTTCTATCTTCCTAATTCCTATTCTTTTATTGTTTTCTCTTAATAGTTTTTTTTTCTTTTACACTCAGTAACTCCTTGCATCTAAGTGCTTTATTGCCTTGCTTGGGGTGAAATGATTTAAAAAAAATCATAGCAATAAAGCACTTAGATCCAAGGAGTTACTGAATGTGAGAGAATGTAAGAAAAAAACTATTTAATTTCATAGTGGAGGACAAAAAAAAAAAGAAAATTTATTTATTTTTTTTTTTTTCTACTTAGACTTCCATACTTTCATAGGAACATTAGTTTTTGGTAAGGGTTGATGAAAAACTCCTGATATTATTGTGAAATTGAACACAAATTAGTGTCATCATGACTTGATTAGTGATTTTATTTTGTTTGTCATTAACCTTTAAACCAGTTTCACTAAAAGTTTCATCAGCTGAGAAAAAAATCATAATCCCATTTAGTAAAACATACTTTATTTTTTTTTAAATCATTTTTTTTCCTTACTCAAATTTACCAGGAATCTTTTGACAAGAAACATTTTTTACATAATAAAAAATATAGCCGTTTATATTTCTGAGACGAGGTATTGTAATTATTTACATTGTTTGAACTGTTGTCTTCATGTTTGTTATCATATACATGATGTTTGAACCATCGTACACTCCGGCCTTCTTCAGGTGTTTGGAATTTCAAACTAAACCTTTTATTTCATCCACCAGGGTAGATTGTTCTAGTTCCACATGGCATGACTCTTCATGTCTCAGTTATCTCCCTTTAACTCAACTCTCCAAGTTTTTTTTCACCACTGCAGTAGCCAGGTATTGAACTCACAACTCTTTGGGTCAAGTCACTGGATCCAACTGGGCCATGTGTCATCAGGGTTGCAAGGCCCAGTGGATAAAAGTGTTGGATGGATCCAGTGACTTCACCCAAACAGTTGTGAGTTCAATACCTAGCTACTGCAGTGGTGAACAAAAACTTAGAGAGTTGAGTTAAAGGGACATAACTAAGACACCTGGAAGAGGTATGGCATGTGGAATTAGAACAATCTACCCTGGTGGATGAAATAAAGGATTCAGTTCAAAATTCCAAACACCTGAAGAAGGTCAGAGCATACAATGGTTGAAACATCATGTATATGGTAAAAAAGATGAGGACAATAGTCCGAACAATATAAATAATGTAAAAAATATAGCTATTCACATACAAAGCCTTATAGTGATTTAGTGACTATTCTACAAAACTTATTTCCCACTGAACTACAAGGATACAAAAAGTAATGCAATTGCAATTAATATAATTAAAATTAAACTTGATGCTGTAAGTGTTGACTAATTGAAATGCATAACAAAAATTGAGCATATAGTTTTGGAGATTTGAGAGATTAATTTTTTCATGTCTGATTTTCAGTTTCCAAATTCCTTTTTTATTACTTTTTTTCAATTTTATACACTGCTTATCCAGGAAAATGACTTCTGTTAGATTTATTTTGAAGAAAATAAAATGTATATCTACCTTATAATTTCATAGACTAAATCTAATAACTATAAGACAAAAGTAGCATTAGTAGAAACATTTCTATCATTTCTGAAATTTTTTGCTCATTTTTTTTTTTTTTTTTTGTTAAATAAATGATAATAAAGTAACATTTTCATTTTCTTTTGTTCCATTACATTATTTATATATTGTTTAAAAGATCAAATATTAATATGTACATATTCCTTAGCGTGTTCTTTTTCACAAAAAAAAAAGTAAACAATTGTAAATGTGATATTTTGATATTATTATGTTTTGAAAAAATTTTTAAAATTTTACAATTTAAAAAAAAAAAAAAAAAAAGATAGAGTAGTACGCATTAAAAGTTTCTTTCAATATTTTCTTCAGACATTCAATTTCTTGCAAGAATCATTCCGAATTCTGGTTGTTGGTGCTGGTGGTCTTGGCTGTGAACTTCTAAAAGATTTGGTAAGGAAATGGTTTGTTTCTTTCAACTATTAGTTCTATAATGCTACTTGTTGTTGCAGATTGATTGTTTATCTCAATTCTAACAAATATTCAGTTTATGGAGCCAATTAAAAAAAATAATCAAAATGATTCAATTAAGTAAACTATAAAATATGTAGTTGATATGTGTGATATTGAAAATAGTTGAAAAAAAAATTATTGTGATGAGTTGATTTATTATCATTCACTGATCTTAAAATAAAAGTTAAAGCAATTTTGCATGAAATATTGGATAAAAAGAAATTGAAGTTATTCATAATATTGATTCAATGTAAGTAGCTTGCTGTCATTTAATGTTCAGCACATCCATTTTGAGAAAAATGTTGCTTTATATGAAGTTAAAAAATTACATTGATAAATAAGGAATTTGATTCACATAATGCTTGTTAACCAGTAATTAACATTTGTTTTGATTTGCATAAATCATAATCATTGCTTTATCTAATTTTTTTATGAAAGCATTATCATAGTACCTAATTGTTTATTTTACTTTTTTACTTATTGTATCCTCTTTTTTTCTGTAAACATTTGTGTATGACCTGCACATTTAATATTAGTGTAACTTGTAGGGTTGACTTATTTTTAAGCAGGATAAAAAATTTTCTAGCAGAGATTTATTAATAAGTGTTGGGCCATTACATAATTACATATAAAACTTTACTCAGAATTTGAACAGCATTGAAGACAAGTTAAAAATTTGACTAAGAGCCAAATTGTTCAATTCATAATGAAAAAATAATTTGGTCTATTTTAGTAGAAAGTAATTATTGGCTCTGAAAAGAACCAACATAGAACACATAAAAGCTAATACATATCATTGATATATTACATTCTTTTGTTTATAGCTGTCACATGATACTAATAAAAACAATCAAAATGCTGTTTTTATTTTCTATTCAGCAAAAAGAAATTCTTTTAACATTGTTGCTCCAGTGATTGACTTGTACAAATTTCAGATTAGCTCATCAGCTTTTGCATATTAAAATGATTCATTTTCTCCTTTCATGCATTTGAAGCATCCTCTTGAATATTTTTATCATAAATAAAGCCATTTTAAAATGCAAAAATAATAAAAATGGAAGTAACCTTGGTTTTATTATTTCCAATTTTGTCTTGATTTTTTAAAAATATTTCAAAGATATAAATTGTCTAAAAACAATATAAACTTATCCAAATTTTACCAGTTGATGAAACAATCATTTTAGAGCAAGTATATGGAAGTGTAGAGATAAAAATTGGGATCTTTTTTTTTTTAATACAAAAGTTCACCCTTTACAAGGCTCGAGAGTCACTCAATAGCAGAGTGTTACTGAATAAGGTGCATTATATGATAGGATGTGGTAGCAAAGGTTATTAAGTTGAGGAGGTTAGATAATGATTGACCCTTAACTTGAAGAGATTAAAGTTGTAGTGTTTAGGGAAGCATCAATGCAGGAGTCTGTTCAACAAAGTAGCAGTCCTTGGGGGGAAAAGCTGAGTGAAACTTTAGGCCCAAGGTTAAAGAAAAAAATTTGTGTGTTCTGACTTTAAAATTATATATTAAACTTTCTGTCTGGATTTCTGGGATGAGGTGTTATTATTGACGTTATTTAAATGCAGTCTATTGTCCTCCTCTTTATTATCTCAACGTCTTGACTATTGTGCCCTTCATCAGGTGCTTGTTGAACCAGGTAACCTTCAGAGAATTTCAAACTAAGCCTTTTATTTAATCTCTGGGGGTAAATTTTTTAATCAACGCCGAAGTGGTTAAGCACCTTACATCCCATGATCTTCTCTCTGACAAGCAATATGGTTTCCGCTTTGCTCATTCTACAGCTGATGTGGTTACAGCCATCACTCAAATTGTTTACCAAGCTCTTCATAATAATAGAGAAGCTCATGCCGTGGCTCTAGATATTTCCAAAGCGTTTGGTAGGGTTTGGCATGCTTCACAAGCTTCAGGGTTACGGAATTTCAGGTCTTAATACAATCATTCCTGTCAAACCGTGTATTGAAGGTCATTCTCAATGGATTCTCCTCCAGCTCCTATCCCATGAATGCAGGTGTTCCCCAAGGCTCCATCCTAGGCCCTACTCTGTTCCTTATCTTCATCAACGATCTTCCTAAGTCAATCCAAGTAGGCATCTACGTGGACGATACTACAATTTATTCCTGTCTCAAAAACAAATCTAGTGTTGTTGACAAAACTAACCTGACCGTTCGTCTCGAAAAGGACCTCCAATCGGTTGTGAACTGGGGCAGGAATTGGCTGGTTAACTTTAACACCTTAAAAACAAAACTGCTCTCTATTACTCACCACAGAGAACCATCCCTGCCCCCCATTAGAATGTCTTACGCTCAACTTCTCAAGAGCTCCTCTTTGTGACTACTCAGCCTCACATTGACTGCTGACCTGAGATGGAACAAATACATTGAGTCAATAGCTTTGTCCACTGCAAGGAAAGTTGGCTCCCTGTGCTGCGCCAGGAAATTTTTCTCGCTGGAGTCAATCCTTCAAATCTACAAATCAACCATTCGCCCTTGCATGGAGTATTGCTGCCATATATGGTCTGGTGCCCCTTATGTTTTTCTCAAGGTTCTTGATAAGATCCAGAGACAGATTGGCAATGTAATTGGCCCTGATCTGGCATCTTGTCTACAGTCACTCTTTCACAGACGTGTTGTCACCTCCCTCTTTATTTTCGGCAAATACTTTCATGGTAACTGCTCCAAGGAGCTGCTTTTGCTGGTTCCCAAACTTCATGAATTTAAGCATTTTACTAGGCTGCCATCTCGCTCACACCCTTTCACTGTTGAAACTGTTAAATGTAGCAGTCTCTTCTACTCCAATAGCTTCATGTCTCACACCTCTTGCCTGTGGAACTCCCTCCCCTCTTCCTGTTTCCCTGATAGCTATAATCTCCAACTATTCAAATGTGATGTCAGTCGATGTCTCCAGATACCCTGATCTATCCTAATCCTTCTCTTCATCCTTTCCTCTATCACTTCTATTTGCTCTAGCTCCAACTCTCTGTAACCCCTTGCGTGCTAGTGGCTTCCCACTTTGCTTGGGGTGAAATGCTTAAAAAAATTGTTCTCATTCTTCTGACCATATCTCAGGATATCTTATCTAGCTTTTATTTATTACTGCTTAGCAACAAGAAAGACAAAATTGGCACATATGCTAATTTATGAGAACCTCCATAATAGGCCTAACATACAGATAAATACAATATGGAAACTGTTAATGAAGAAAGAGAAATAACAACAAGGCCTCAGCAGCAGCCACAGTAGAAAAGAGAAGTCTTGGTGAGTGCAATTAAGCATAACAAGCAGTTGCAGCACTCATCAGCAAGCAAGTTAGGTTTAAAGCACCAAATTCTCCACTCAGAATTCTCCCATGGGACAAGTGGATTAAAGCATTGGTTCATGAATTTGGCAAGATAGTAATTGTGAATTCAATCCCTGGGTTGGGCAGTAGAAATAGTAGAAATGAGGCAAGCAATAATTGAGCAGTAGTAAATATGGTCAGTAGAATAAGATAGAAATAGTATTATTATTATAGTATTATGAGATACAGGTAGTATTATTTTGAAGAAAAATGAATAGAAGTCAGGCAGTGTATAAAATGGAAAAACAAAATTAAAAAAAAATTAATCTTCAAAATCCCCAAAACTGTGCTAATTTTTTTTGTTATGCATTTCAATTAGTAAACACTTAGAGCATGTCAATTAAGAGTTCCTTGAAAGTTACCAAGATTGAAGGCCAGAGAACACAATGGATGGTACATGATCATAATAACAACAAAGATGACGACAATAATCTGCATGTAAATAATATATTAAATGTTTTAAATAAGGGAATTTAAAAAAATATCATGCTAGTGCATTTAGAGCTAGATTTTTTTTTATTTTTATTTATTTTTTTTTTATAAAAAAAGTTATGAAAATACAGTGTTGCCATCTAATAGATACTTTTAATGACCCTCTCTTTTTGATTGTATAGTTAGTCACAAAGCTAAAATGATGCCTTTGATAAAGACCTACATTGTTTGATATTCATTTCTGTTGATGTCTGCTATAATTAGGAAATATGCTTTTGTGCATCAAAATTACGATGTAGAACTAAAAGAATCCAAATGACAGTCATTTTTCTTGTCTGGAGTGAGACAAAATATCTCCTTGTTGGCAAAAGATTTGTGCACCCAATGAAAAGAAAATGACATATTTAGGCCAATCCAAAGTAACAACAATTCAATTTGAAACCGCTTTCACTAGGAGCCTACTGGAAATCTATAAATACCAAATTTCAGAATATCTCCACTAGTTTGCAATGCAACGTCCAACAGGACTCTTTTCAACTCGTCATTATACCCAACAAACATCTCAACAACATAATAAACTTCTTGTTAATCTACTTGCCACCGCAATAACAATTTCCCCCTTCTGCACTTATTATAACTTAGCATTTTTCCAGAAGAACTCAACTTGAGGAACTTAAATAATGTATCTCTTTCATAAGATTATTTCATTTGAGGGTGTGCTGGAAAGTTCTCAGTTTGATTGAGAATGAACTTGAGTTATGAGACATACATGCCATTCCACATAGTTACCCTGCAAGTCAACAGAATGAGACATCATTCTTCAAATCTATTTAATACTCTTCTAAAAAAAAAAAAAAAAAAACTCTATCTGGTCATGGAAATAATGAAGTAGATTTGGCCAAGAACTTTTCAGCACTTCCTCATACAAACAGTTTATTACTGGTCATTTTGGTCAACAGTTTTCAATGAGCTGTATATCTTATATACCAATAAATAAAATATGTTAACTTTTACACTATAGATTTATTCATATTTGTATAAGCCACATATCAAATCTTTCCTGTCATTTTTAATACATTTTTCCTTCATTTCTGAATATTATGCTTATAGTTTCAACACATTTCAGTACCCACTTACCTGTTGTTATTTACTAAGATTA